AGGCCAGACAAGGGCACTGGCTCCTCTGGAACTGCAGTGATAGCCAGTTGTGAGCCACCATGCTGGTGCTGGGACTTGAACCTGGGTCTTGTAGAAGAGTAGTCAGGGGCTCTTAGAAGATGAATCACATCTATGGTCCAACATTGCAGTCTTATGACAGGGACCAAAGGTCATGAAGAAATCACAGAAGAATGCTTGGAAATTGAAATTATGATTTCAGAGATTAAAATTCAGTAGGACTGAAAGATAAAAGCAAGAAAATCTTTCAAAAAAAAAAAGAGAGAATACCAACGTGAAAGAAAAGGTAGGGGTGCAGCCTACAGCACTAAATATAGATATTATATATATGTAATATATATGTATATCACATATATATGAAATATATAAGCATATGATATACATCAGCTATAATAGGAGTCTCTTATAAGAGTTTTTTCTTTTTTCTTTTCTTTTCTTTTTTGTTTGTTTGTTTTGAGACAGGGTTTTTCTATATAGCCTTGGCTGACCTGGAACTCATTCTGGAGACCAGGCTAGCCTCAAACTCAGAGATCCCCGACTCTGCCTCCCGAGGGCTGGGATCAAAGGCATTCATCACCACCACCAGGCTTAATAGAGGTTTCTTAAAGGGAGAAGGGGGGGGGGAGAAGAAATATTGAGAAAAATATTAAATTCCCAGAACTTCAGAAGAGTTCAAAATTCTAAAATGACTTACTCAATTACCCGTGGAGAGACCTTCTGTCCACTGGAAAGGATGCTACTGTAAGCGTTTGTATACAGGTGGCTGTTTGAATCCTTGCTTTTGGTCCTTAGGGTATATACCTAGGGGATTTTCTGAGTCAAATGGGCACTCTGTGATTAACTTTGTGAGAAAGTGTCAGACTGTCTCTCATGGCAGCTACACAATTGTACATCCCAACAAACAATATTAAGAGTGCTACAGTGAGTGTCTCCTGACCAACACTTGTTCTGGTTCTCTTTGGTTTTGTTTGGTTGTTTTTAGAGACAGCCTCTCACTGTGTTTTCCAGGCTGGCCTTGAGCATGTGGGCTCACGTGTTCCTCCTAGGTCAGCCTCCCAGCTCGCTGGGGTCACAGCTTGTCTTTTTGGTACTCATCATCCAAGTGAGGAGCCATGAGGTGGGAGGAGCCATGAGGCGGTATACATTGTGGTCACACTGGCTTGTTTTGTGGGGGAGGGTTCTTTTCTTAGTGAGTACCTTAGAAAGTATCATAGTCCTTTTTTTAAAAATTCAAAATGTGCTGGGCAGTGGTGGCACACCCTTTAATGCCAGCAAAAAAGCTGGAACAGGGTAGGGGCATGGGCACGGACAGGGGGATCTCTGTGAGGTTGAGGCCAGCTTGGTCTACAGAGCTGGTTCCAGGATAGCCAGGGCTATATACAAAGAAATACTGTCTTGAAAAATAAACAAACAAGCAAACAAAAGCCAAACGTTGCCCCAATAGTGGCATACATCTTTTTTTTTGTTTGTTTTGTTTTTTTCGAGACAGGGTTTCTCTGTGTAGCTCTGGCTGTCCTGGAACTCACTCTGTAGACTAGGCTAGCCTCGAACTCTCGAACTCAGAGATCTGCCTGCTTCTGCCTCCCGAGTGCTGGGATTAAAGGTGTGCGCCACCACCACCCAGCGGTATACATCTTTAATTCCAGCACTCAGGAGGCAGAGGCAGGTGGATCTTTGGCCAGCCTGGTCTACAAAGTGAGTACCAGGACAGACAGGGGCCATACAGGCTCATTTCCCAGCACCCACACCTGAGACCCTCTTCTGACATCCTTGGACATTGCACACATGTGATGCACATACATAGGTGCAGGCAAACACTCTTACACATAAAATAAAATAAACCTTAAAAAAAAAAAACAGTATTGATACCTTTAGTGTCCTGGGCAAAAATCTATAAATGATTTAACAGCATTTACTACATATATACCCCTAACATACTCACTTCTACCATGTGCTATAATCTGTAATTTTTACCTCTCATAGTATACTGCCTTGCATAAATAACCCTATTTTTCGTAATCAATACAATTAATATCTATTTATATTCATTTTCCCTCTCCATCCCCCCTGCTTTTTGATGCAAGGACTCTCTACACTTCTACATTTCTTTTTGTTTTGCTTCTATTTTTATTTTAAAAAGTGATTGTAGCCAGGTATAGTGATACCTGCTTTATTCTCAACACTTGGGTGGCAAAGGCAAGCAGGTCACTGAGAGTTTTAGACCAGCCAAGTCAACATAGTGAGTTCCAGGCCACTTAGGACTATATAGTGAGACCCTGTCTAAAATAATAAACAAATAAATTAATGAACAAATAAAATTGTTTACTGTGTGTGTTTATGTACCACAATGGGCACGCAGACCAAAGGACTTCCTTGTGGGTGTCAGTTCACTCTGTCTACTTTCATGGAGGTTCCAGGGATCAAGCTCAGGTCACCAGGCTTCCATGGCAAAAACATTTTACTCAACAAGCCGCCTTACTGATTCACCTGACTTTTTTTCATTCAAGATTATTTTCTTTTCTGCAAGGTGAACACCCTACAGGACATCTTTAATCAGTTGTCTATTGGCAACATAGATGTTTTATTCTACTTGAAGCGTATGGTCTTTTGTTTTTAAGGCCGGTGGTGAGTGAGTTTGATGGTGGTGCATTAAATCAATCAATCAATCTCTCTCTCTCCCCCCCCCCTCTGTTTTCTGGCTATACTGAGTCTTCTTTGACTCTGTAGAGTTTCTTGGGGTCAGTGGGCTTCTAGACACAATCTCTCTAAGGCCCATCCTAATTTTTACCTTCCCACGGAACCTCAATGAAACTTGCTGTGCCTTATGGCTGTTATATTTTCATTCTTTATGGCTCTGTCAGGTGTGTGCGTGTATGTCTGTGTGTATGTCTGTGTCTCTGTGTCTCTGTGTGTGTTTCTAAGTATATACATATAACACACCCCTATGTCTACATTCATAATTTTCATTTTAAAATTAATCCTTACTTCATTCTGGAATTTCATTCCATTCTTTGTAGTAGAGGTCTAACTTACTAATTCCATTTAAAAAAATGGTATTATAATTTTTGGTTTGGTTTGGTTTTGGTTTCTCAAGACAGGGTTTCTGTATGTCTAGCTGTCCTAGAATTTGCTGGAGACCAGGCTGGCCTTGAACTCAGAGGTTCACCTGCTTCTGCCTCCCAAGTCTGAAATTAAAGGCTTGCATCACCATGCCAGATCTGATACTATAAATTTTTTATTTTTATTTATTTATTTACTTATTTATTTACTTATTTATTTGTTTTTTTGAGACAGAGTTTCTCTGTGTAGCCCTGGCTGTCCTGGAACTCACTCTGTAGACCAGGCTGGCTTCGAACTCAGAAATCCGCCTGCTTCTGCCTCCCAAGTGCTGGGAATAATTCTTGATTTCTAGAATTTTTGTGTTGCAAATATGCTGAGTCACTGTTTCAAGAAAATACAGTTCATGGCTTCCTGATAAATTTTTCAATTTCTTGTCCGCTAAAACAACAGTCAACATTGTTTTCAAACTCTGCATGTGGTAAGCCCAGTCTCTGGAGGTCCTGTGAGTCTCCTTTCCCCCTTTCTCTCACCTTCTGCCTCCTGGGTTCTCATCTCTGTGCGTCTCGTTTCCGGAGTTCAGAACATTGAGCTTGAAGTGATTTTCACAGATACCACCCAATGCTAACTTCTCAAAGGCATCTGGTTGTGTCAGCCAAGCACTCAAGTCAGTACACAGTACAGGAAAAAGGTGTGTGGTTGGCTCCATCACCATCTGACCTGGAGGACTGTGGTCCACACCCGCCCTCTCAGAATACAGCTGGTCACGTCTCTATCCATGTTTTGTGTGGACCACCCTCTTTGGAGGCTTGCATTTCAGCTTTCACTCCTGCAGCCCAGGAAAGCTTCTGTAAGAGTCTTAGTTTCTCATTTGCCTCCACAGGTTCTGCACAGAATATAGAAAAAACCTGCTCCCAAATGGCCCCCTCTGGGCCTTAGATCATGTCTTATTTCTAATTCCTACAAAATTACAAGATGTTTCAGGATTTTTAAATCTTTCATTATCTGCAGTGGGATGGCAAGTACCAATTATCTAGCCCAGATGTTCTGCCTGTGCGGTCTTTTCCTAAGGAATTATGTATACAACTTCGAATGTGTGCTGATGTCTCAGTTTTATATCTTAGTCCCGATCTTGCCTGTTCTGTATCTCCACCCTATTATTTCATGGGAACTCCAAGCTCAAAGAGGCATACAATCAGATGTATATCTATGTGTCATTCAATTCTTACATCCAAAGTTTTAGCTTATGCATTGTTTTATTTATGAATTTATGTATCTATGTATATGGGTATTTGCCAGCATTTATGTCTGTGTACCATTTGCATATCCAGTGCCCACTAGGGCACTAGTGGTCAAAAGAGAGGACTGGAATCCCTGGAACTAGAATGACAGATTGTTGTAGCTGCCTTGTAGGTCTTCTGCAGCAGCAGCCAGTGTTGAGCCACGTCTCCAGGCTCTTTTATTGTTGTATCATTATATTAGACAGAATCTCACTGGGCATTCCCTGGCTGGCCTGAAACACTCTTTATAGACCAGGTTGATTTTGAACTCAGAGATCTGCAGAGATCTGCGTGCCTCTGTCTCCCAAACGCTGAGATTAAGGTCATGTGTCCCACACCCCACAAAATAACAAGATTTAAATGAGAAATATACAAATAAGTATTGTTAGTGACTTTAACTCTGCTATTAATCATCGACAGAATAACTTTTTTTTTTTAAAGATTTATTTATTTATTATTATATATGAATACACTGTAGCTGTCTTCAGACACACCAGAAGAGGGCATCAGATCTCATTACAGATGGTTGTGAGCCACCATATGGTTGCTGGGATTTGAACTCAGGACCTCTGGAAGTGCAGTCACTGCTCTTAACCACTGAGCCATCTCTCCAGCCCCAGAATAACTTTTTAAACCAGTATAGTCGTGCTCACTTTGGCAGAACCTATACTAAAGTTGGAATGACACAGAGAAGATTGGTATGGCCTCTGTAAAGGATGACACACAAATTCATGAAGCATCCCATTTTTTAAAAAAATCTAAAGTTCTAGAAAAGTCTATAATATTAATCAGCCTGACCTACATCCAGTGACAACAACACATCTCACCAAGGCAGCAGTGTTTACCAAATTATATTATCCTCCCACCCATAACACAAATGCTTATAAATCTAGAATAAATACATTTATGTAAAAATATGGATTAAATTAGATAACAGAAAAATATTTTAAAACCCTCCTACAAATAAAATTGGAAGCTAATTTAAAAAAAAACACTTTTAAATACCCAGGTCAAGGAAGATCAGAAAAGAAATATATTTTTAGCTGAATAGACATAAAACTGCAACTATTAAAAAATTATGGCATGCCACTAAAGCAGTGTTCTTAGAGAAAATTATAGCATTAAATATTTATATTGAGAAAAAAGGAGGTTTTAAAGTGAGTGACTTGTGCTTCCATTAAACAGAAAGCAAGCAGAAGGGAAACTGTAGACACTCCGTGGCTCTGCCCACAGGCTGTGCACCCCACTCAGCCGAACGGGAATGCCCCAGTTAGACATGAGCTTGTCCAGAGGACAGGGAGACGGCTCAGTCAGTAAAGCGCTTGCCATGTAAGCATGAGGATTTGCCTTTTTATTTTCCTTTGAGTAATAATAAGACACAGAGGCCATCTTACAATAAAGATATTAATAACAAAGGCATGTCTTTTTGTTGTCCCCATGCTCTGGGGGCCGATTCCAGCCTCTCTCACATGCCAGACAAGTTCTCTGCCATTGAGCTCCAGTATAGCCCAAGACAGTTTTACACTAAGTTTTTTGTTTGTTTATTTCCTAGGGTCAACAGGAGTGGCATAGTGTGCTTGCAGTGGTCAGAGAACAACTTGCAAGAGTTGGTTCTCTCCTACCAGAGGGGGTCTGTGGGATCAAATTCAGGCTGTCAGGCTTGGCAGCAGTCACCTGCTGAGCCATCTCACAGACCTTTAAAATTTTTATTTTGAGACAGAGTCTCACTATATAGTCATTGGATGGTCTGAAATTCACTACGTAGACCAGACCATTTGGGTTTGTTTGTTTATTGTTTGTTTGAGACTGGGTCTTGTGTTTCACAGGCTAGCCCTCATACCAGCTATGTACCCAAAGAAGACCTTGGACTACTGATTTTCCTGCTTTCATTTCTTGATTGCTGGGGTAGAACCCAGAGCTTCATGCATACTAGGCAAGCACTTAATAACTGAACTGTACCCCTACCCCACCCAGCCCAAGGCATCTTTTCATTCTTAGTAGAACCTGAGAAACATCTTACTAATATTGCATATTTTTATTTTTGTTTTTTTAAATAACAAACAAGGTGAGTTCTCGATGGAATGGTAATGCCAGTTACTGATGGCAGACCCCATCCCCTGGAAGTTGAGCTCTGCCTGCCTCTGCCTCCTGTGCTGGGATTAAAGGTGTGCTCCACCATGCCCAGCTTTGTCAGTGTTTATTGGTTTTGTTTGCCATTCCATTAACTTCTACTCTTATTTACTCTCCACATAAAATATTAAAATATTATTTTTGTTTTTCAAGAAGAGCTCATGTTACATATAAGCAGTTTTCTTGGCACATAAGCACACACAGTACAGACTCCAAAGGGAGCCGCTACTGCCTCAGTTTACCTACCACAAAGAGTTTATGAGCCCAGAAAAAAAAAATGCCTTGCTAACTCTCTTGCTCCTTAACTTTGATGAGAATATCAACCTTGTTGATGTTTGTTGCCTGCAGTTCCCCTCTTCGGCTGGCTCACACTCATCCAAATGTGTTTCCAAAAACATGCATAATCATGAATCACGTCATGACTGCCCATCAATCCACTCCATCAAGTTCACTTTCTTCTTTCATTTCTTTATGCTTTACTAACTCAGAGAAAGATTCCTACTATGCTTGGGGCTACACAGGGCTCAAACTTTCAAATTCGTTCTCTGTTTTCAGTATTCTGTTGTTTGCTTCTTCAGTGTCTTGTGACTGACTGATTCAGTCTTTGATGTGGTGGTGGAGGTCTGAGGACTTAGGCTCTCCAGAGTCACTGTATATAATAAGGTCATTACAGCTGGGGCAAGGGGTCTGCCATCATTAACTAGCAGTAGCCTTACCATCTGAGCTAGAACTCACCTTGCTTGAGA